AGCCTGCTTCTCCCTCTCCCACTCCCCCTGCTTGTGTTCCCTCAAGAAGTGCTGCCAGATGTCAGCGACCGCCCGGCGCCCTCTGACCCCCAGGCTGAACTGCAGTTTTACCTGGTGGTAGCTTTGGCTTTGATCTCAGTACTTTTCCTCCTGGCGGTGACTCTGGCCATCGCCTTGCACCTTCGTCGCTCCTCCAGCCCCACCACCTGGACCTGCTTTCAGCCTGGTCTGTGTGTCAAGTCAGGACCTGTGGTTCCTCCCAACTACAGCGAAGGGACTTTGCCTTATTCCTACAATTTGTGCGTTGCCCATACTGGAAAGACAGAGTTTAATTTTCTAAAGTGCAATGAGCAGTTGAGTTCAGAACGAGACATACTTTTCGGTGATTCATCTGGGGCCTTATTTCCACTTTGCAAATCCAGTGAGTCAACCTCCCATCTGGTGAGTTTCTTTTAAGCATAACCTGCTTCTTATGATCTACCCAATTCTTTATGTTCATGGGAAAAATATACAATTTGTAGATCTAAAAGTTTCTCTATAAAGTAAAAAAGCTATCATACCAATCTTCATGAGAAGTTGAAGTAGGAGGAGTTATGTCTCTTTTAGGGATGTCTTAACAGGCTCAGATCTATGAAGTACTTAGAGTGTGGTTTTATCTAGGAAGGGAATCAATGTTATAGGCTATCTCCTAAAAGCTAATGAGATTTTTTCCTAAGTTTTTCTTCCTATTACCTAATATACTTTTTTTAGCTGGATATACTATTAATGTAAAAGTGAGCAGTCATTTAAATAAACCTTTAAAGCAAAAAAAAATTAAGCTAAAATTGAGCATTTTTCATAACTGATTTAACTGTTTTGTTTCTTTTATTTACTTCCTTTTGTTTCAAAGCCTCCTAGAATAAAATATCTTAACCTGGATTTTTATGTAGATGGATATTTTACAATTATATTCAATGAACTGTATGTGTGTTTAAAAGCATTTTACTGGGGTGCCTGGGTGGCTCAGTCGTTAAGCATCTGCCTTCTGCTCAGGTCATGATCCCAGGGTCCTGGGATCGAGCCCCACATCAGGCTCGCTGTTCAGCGGGGAGCCTGCTTCTCCCTCTCCCACTCCCCCTGCTTGTGTTCCCTCTCTCACTGTGTCTGTCTCTGTCAAATAAATAAATAAAATCTTAAAAAAATAAAAGCATTTTACTTACCAGTAAGACCAGTATGCTCACTAGAAGATAAAAACTTTTTCTTTAATTTGCAGCATAGGTTTTTCACACACACCTATATAATTTAGTTTGTCTTTTTTGCAGCCCAAATATAGCCAGAGGTCTTCTAGTCATTCTACTACCTCTAGGAGAAAAATAGAGTCTTGAATTCTTCAAATTTTAGACAAAATTGCCAATCTAATGTGCATACAAGTATATATATATATATATATAAGATAATGCGTTTGTCATCTTTAGCTAGATTTCTGTTAGCAAATGCTCAGTTACTGGCTACTTTACAAACTGCTGAAGAAAAGAGACATAATTTTTTTCATACTGACACTTTTTGACTGCTTGGTGATAATTATGTGTTCCCTTTTTGTGGTTCTCTTGATCAAAATACTACTTAAGGGGGCGCCTGGGTGGCTCAGGCAGTTAAGTGTCTGACTTTTGATTTCGACTCAGGTCATGATCTCAGGGTGGTGAGATCCAGCTCCATGCTCAGCAGGGAGTCTGCTTGAGATTCTCTATAAAAAAAATACTAATTAAGGTAAAATTAACTTTAGAATATATGTCTTTCTTAGGAAGTTAATTAAGTCTGCTTAAAAATGTAATCATCTCTCATTTGTGGAAGATTAGGGTGGAGATTTGCTTTTCATTGTGTATTCATTTGTATTTTTAAAATAGCTCCTATTCAAGTAGGAAAAAATACATAATTTAAATAAAGTAGTAAATCAAGGGTAACTGGGGCACCTGGCTAGCTCAGTTGGTTAAGGGTCTGCCTTCAACTCAGGTAATAATCTCAGGGTCTTGGGATCAAACCCCCACATTGGGCTCTGTGCATATCGGGGAGTCTGCTTATCCCTCTCTTTCCTCCTCTGCTCCTCCAGCCACTCTCACTCTCTCAAATAAAATAAAATAAAATAAAACCTTAAAACAAAACAAAACAAGGGTGCCTGACTGGCTCAGTTGGTAGAGCATGCAATTCTGGATCTTGGGGTTGTGAGTTTTGAGCCCCACCTGGGTATAAAGATTACTTAAAAATAAATAAATAAATGAAATAGCAAAATAATATAATCTCTGATGAAACTTGAAAGTAAAAGCATTTATCCTGTTAAAATTTCACAATATTAATTTGAAAACATTATCAATATGTAATTAAAATGACATTTTAAAAAGAAAATTTAAAAAGCAACAACTCTACTGAAAGCTTACTATAATGATTAACTGGTTTACAGCAAATACAGCACCTTCTGAGTCAATCATGTTCAATAGTTGTACTTGGGTCTAAAAATGAATTTATTTCCAGTGACAACTGGAGGTCTTATTTGATAATAGACTTACAATAAAGCTTAGAGCGTAGAAAGGAATGAAATTTTAATAATTTACATTTTAAGAGTAAATGTATTCAGAAATTTGAGTAATGTGAGACTATCCCATAAATCTATGCGGATCATTTAATAATCCTTTGTAAAACTTTAACCCGACTTAATCCCGTGCTTCTTGGCAACAACTTTTAAAATATTAATTCACAGACAAATTAAATAAATTCAAAACAGACTATAAAAGGCAAGTATTTTTTCCTCTCTCACTAACCTAATATACACTCTTACATATCTAAGTGGGTGCAGTAACTGCTTAGGACTCTAAGCGCCGCTGTTCACCTATTTGGAGATAAATTTAACCAAATGCCATCTGGTTACTAAAGGCTCAGATCTCGCAAAGACCCGCAGATCCCACAAACCAACTGCAGGGCTGCAGCGAAACTCTGACCCTACATCTGAGACACTCCAGTTTTCTATAAGATGATCTCCATAGCTGCCGCAAAAAGGTAAACAAGACACATATGCCCAATGAGGATTCTGAGTGGATTCAGTAGTGAAAGAACAATGGCTGCTCCAAAGAATTACCAGAGACGCGGCGAGCTGGTCCTGCTGTGCGCGCTCATGGGCACACTGTGGGAAATCGGGAGAGGACAGATCCATTATTCGGTGCCAGAAGAGAGCGACAAAGGATCCTTCGTGGGTAACATCTCCAAGGACCTGAATCTGGAGTCACAAGAGCTGGTGAAGCATGGAGTCCGCATCGTCTCCAGAGGTAGGACGCAGCTTTTTGCTCTGAACCGGAAAACTGGCAGGTTGCTCACCGCGGGCAGGATAGACCGGGAGGAGCTTTGTGCTCAAAACATGCAGTGTTTAGTAAATATTAACATCCTGGTTGAGGGAAGAGGAAAACTTTTTGGGATAGAAATAGAAATCACTGATATCAATGATAATAACCCAAAATTCCAGGTCGAAAATCTGGAAATGAAAATTAATGAAATCGCTGCACCTGGAACACGTTATCCACTCCCAGAGGCTGTTGACCCGGACGTGGGCATTAATTCCTTGCAGAGCTACCAGCTCAGCCCCAATCACCACTTCTCCCTGGACGTGCAAACTGGAGGCGACGGAACTCTACACCCAGAACTGGTGCTGGAGAAGGCCCTGGACCGTGAGGAAGAGGCTGCTCACCACCTGGTCCTCTTCGCCTCGGACGGCGGTGACCCCCGTCGCTCCAGCACAGTGCACATCCACGTGACAGTGCTGGATACAAACGACAATGCCCCGGTTTTTGCTCTACCGATTTACCGAGTGAAAGTCCCAGAGAACGTGCCCCCGGGCACCCGGCTGCTTACTGTGAGCGCTAGCGACCGGGATGAGGGAGCCAACGGAGAAGTAGCCTATAAGTTCTGGAAAATTAGTGAAAAACAGTCTCCGTTATTCCGGCTGAATGAAAATACTGGGGAAATATCAACGGCAGAGAGTCTAGACTATGAAGAATGTGCATTTTATGAAATGGAAATACAAGCTGAAGATGTGGGGGCACTTTTGGGGAGGACCAAAGTGCTCATTTTGGTGGAAGATGTGAATGACAATAGACCGGAAGTGATCATTACATCTCTGTTTAGCCCAGTCTTGGAAAATACTCTTCCTGGAACAGTAATTGCCTTCTTGAATGTGCATGACCGAGACTCTGGGAAGAATGGTCAAGTTGTCTGTAACACACCTCATAATTTACCTTTTCAATTGGAAAAATCAATAGATAATTATTATAGATTGGTGACATGGAAATATCTGGACCGAGAAAAGATCTCTGTGTACAATATCACAGTGATGGCCTCAGATCTAGGGACTCCATCTCTATCTACTGAAATGCATATCACCCTGTATGTGGCGGATATCAATGACAATCCCCCCACTTTCCCTCAAGTCTCCTATTCAGCCTATATCCCAGAGAACAACGCCAGAGGTGCCTCCATCTTCACTGTGATGGCTCATGACCCCGACAGTGGCAAAAATGCCCAGGTGACTTACTCTGTGACTGAGGACATCATCATGGGAAGCCCTCTCTCCTCCTATGTCTCCATCAACTCAGACACTGGCATCCTATATGCACTGTGCTCCTTTGACTATGAGCATATACGAGACTTGCAGTTACTGGTGACAGCCAGCGATGGCGGGGACCCTCCACTCAGCAGCAACGTGTCACTGAGCTTGTTTGTGCTGGACCAGAACGACAACACACCAGAGATCCTGTACCCCGCGCCCCCCACCGATGGTTCCACCGGCGTGGAGCTGGCGCCCCGCTCCGCAGAGCCCGGCTACCTGGTCACCAAGGTGGTGGCAGTGGACAGAGATTCGGGCCAGAACGCCTGGCTGTCCTACCGCCTGCTCAAGGCAAGCGAGCCAGGGCTCTTCGCGGTGGGGTTGCACACGGGCGAGGTGCGCACGACGCGGGCCCTGCTGGACAGAGACGCGCTCAAGCAGAGCCTGGTGGTGGCGGTGCAGGACCACGGCCAGCCCCCTCTCTCGGCCACCGTCACGCTCACCGTGGCTGTGGCCGACAGCATCCCAGCCGTCCTGGCCGACTTGGGCAGCATCAGGACCCCCGCCGACCCAGACGATTCGGACCTCACGCTGTATCTGGTGGTGGCGGTGGCGGCAGTCTCGTGCGTCTTCCTGGCCTTTGTCATCGTGCTGCTGGCGCTCAGGCTGAGGCGCTGGCACGCGTCGCGTCTGCTCCAGGCCTCCGGAGGCGGGCTGGTGGGCGTGCCGGCCTCGCACTTTGTGGGCGTGGACGGGGTGCGGGCTTTCCTGCAGACCTATTCCCACGAGGTCTCCCTGACCGCGGACTCGTGCGAGAGTCACGTGATCTTCCCCCAGCCCAACTACGCGGACACGCTCATCAGCCTGGAGAGCTGTGAGAAAAATGATTCCTTGCTAACATCCGTAGACTTTCATCAATGTAAGGATGAAGCTGCTGCTTCTGTTCAGGTGAGTTCAGTTCTTTGTTCACGTTTAATTCTCAAAGGAATTATATTTTTTATAGATTTATATTTTAAAACACACATTGTGGAGATAGTTTAAAATATTTTTTAAAAGTGTAGCCCAAAGTTTTTGGTTTCAGTGGTCATACTATAAAATTGAGCTCTAATCATGATAGTTTGCTTCATTTGCTTTCCAAAGTCTTGGACAAGACTGTTTACATGTCAGCTCTCAACCTTTTAAAAATCTTCCATAAGTGGAGCACCTGGCTGGCCCAGTCAGTCGAGCATGAGATTCTTGATCTCAGGGTAGTGAGTTCCAGCCCCACTTTGGATGTAGAGATTACTTTTAAAAATACAAAAAATAGGGGTGCCTTGGTGGCTGCGTTGGTTGGGCCTCAGATTCTTGGTTTCTGCTTGGGTTGTGATCTCAGGAGTTGTGGGATCAAGGGGGGGTGTGGGGTGGGGGGGTCTTTCGGCTCAGTGGGGAGTCTGCTTGATGATTCTCTCCCTCTGCCCCTCCCTCTATTCCTGCTCACACTCTCTCACTCAAATAAATAAATCTTTTTTAAAAAGAAGAGAAAAACATAAAAAAAATTTAAAAATCTTCCTTATGTTGCTATAATTATCACTTATCACTCATTCACTTAAGAAGTAGTTACCCAACCACATATGGTAAGTTTGTTTTATATTTAGGAAATATATATATGTATTCCTAATTAGAGTTGAGAAAAAAATAACTGAGACTTTTATTTTTTTAAGATTTTATTTTTTTATTTGAAAAAGAGAAAGTATGAGCAGTGGGAGCGGCTGGCAGAGGGAGAAGCAAACTGCCCACTGAGCAGGGAGACTGATGAGGGAGCAGGGAGACGACTCAGTTGCCTAACCAACTGAGCCACCCAGGCGCCCTAACCAAGATTTTTAAATCCTTGTATTAGCTTAGTAAAAGTAAAATACATCTCACAATTTTAAGATTCTGTTTAGGGTTTGGATCTTGAAGGTCTGAAGTTTTCTAGGCTTTTGGAGATTTCTTCACTTTAAACCCCTTTTGTGAGCCTTGTATTTGCATCAATACCCTTCAAAACTTTAATACTTATTATATTTCAAAACAAATACATTTGAAAGGGTGGAACTTGGTAGTAGGTTAAACAGGTTCCCTTATGTGTCAATGGTCTCCAAGAGCTCATACTAAAGAAGACATAGAATCTAGGGGTGCCTGGGTGGCTCAGTCCTTGGGTGTCTGCCTTTGGCTCAGGTCGTGATCCTAGCTTCCTGGGATCCAGCCCACATTGAACCCCACATCAGGCTCCCTGCTTAGTGGGGAGGCGGGGCTGCTTCTCCCTCTCCAGCTCCTCCGTGCTTGTGTTCTCTCTCTCTCTCTCTCTCTCTCTCTCTCTCTCTCTCTCGTCAAATAAATAAATAAATAAATAAAATCTTAAAAAAAAAGACTTGGACTGTAAAGCCTAAAATGTCCATCACCCCCCCCAAAAATAAAAACAACAAAATCATATTTGAAATAAAATGTCATTTAGAAAAATACAGAAGACACGTTTTCAGTAAGTTCCAATGAATTGTTTTGATTGGACAGCCATGTGAAAGATGTTGTGTTCTCATGGTGAGAGAGTTTGAGAATGTTGGTTTTAAGAAGTTTCAGGGGTGCCCGGATGGCTTGGTCGTTAGGCATCTGCCTTCGGCTCAGGTCATGATCCCAAGGTCTTGGGATCGAGCCCCGCATCGGATTCCCTGCTCTGGGGGAAGCCTGCTTCTCCCTCTCCCACTCCCCCTGCTTGTGTTCCTTCTCTCGCTGTCTCTCTCTCTGTCAAATAAATAAAATCTTAAAAAAAAAAGAAAAGTTTCATATAAACAGATTCTAAACAAGCTGATCAATTCAATTAAAAATGATTCTATATCTTCTGTATTCCTTGTTATAGCATCTTAGCAGTGCTAACTCCTGATTTGTCATCACATGAGAATGAAAAACACAATAAAGCATTTGTTAGTTATAAAAAGGGCATTTTCCAAGGGTTTTGCAGTGTTTCCTCCTATTTTGCACATACTGTGGTTGGGATTTAACTTTCTCGGTAGTGTTTGGGTATACAGACATTTGAAGGGACAACTATATTATTGATAATTTACAATTTTTAAAAATGTTTGGAAACTTGCCCTGACAAAAGACCTTATTCTTGTTCAAAACCTTCACTGATTGTTAAAAAAAATTTCAACAGATGGAGCAAAATAGTTAGAACAAATCTCATTTGCCCAGGAAATTTATGTGAATAAACTTGCCATAAGCTCAATTCTAAAGTCATTACTTCAGTATAACATAGATACATGGATAAGAAATAATGTAATCTACTGAAATATCCATTTGTGACTGTGTATTGAAGAATAGATAAACATTTCCCCAGTGAGTTTTTTTAAAAGATTTTATTTATTTATTTGAGAGAGAAAATGAGAGAGAGAGCATGAGAGGGGGGAGGGTCATGAGGGAGAAGCAGACTCCCTGCCGAGCAGGGAGCCCCTGCAGGACTGGATCCTGGGACTCCAGGATCATGACCTGAGCCGAAGGCAGTCACCCAACCAACGGAGCCATCCAGGCGCCCCCCGCCCCGTGACTTTTAAGAATGAATTAATGTACTATTTATGTACTATATTGGGTATGACATAATCCAAGTAATTTTTAGACATGAAGAAGAAGGTAGGGTAAATCATCTCTTGGCTACATCATAGGGACAGGGTTTTTTTTTTTAATGAATACTTCCTTAGATAGTCAAAAGAGTAAAAAAAATTATTTTAAAAAGAGGGTGTTGATATTATCAGAAGATGTTTGAGGATGTATGAAATTGCACAACTTTACAGAATAATTTGCAACAGTGTTAGTATTCTCTAATATATGTGATATGAAAACAGCATTAATAATATAGAAATGTTGGGGGGAAATTTAGGAATCAATGAAAGAAGATTAAAATTGTTTCACATATTGTACCTAATAAAGAGAAATGATTTTGTGAAGTCAGTAGATGATAAACTCGCTGAAGTCAAGACCTCTGTTGTACTCATTTTTATATCGCCACTGACAAGGGCAGTACTTAGCACAAGGCAAGAGTTCAATGTATGTTTGTGGTAGGGTGAAATGGATGGACCAGTATATGTAGATTTCTATAAAAACTCAACATATTTCTAATAATTTGGAAACAAAAGAAAAGATGCCTTAAAAAGGCTTTATAATTTAAGATATTAAATATATTAACATAAAAACGTGGCTTGTTCAGTTAGGCACAGGATTGTTACTGTAGCTGGTTAAACTGAAGCAGCAGAGGCTGCAGTTCCCCAGTGTGGACTGTGGGCGCCGCTGTTGGCCAAAATGGAGAGCTTGGGCACTGGCGATCTCCTCGCGCAGCCGCAGCGCACTTTCCCTATCAGACTCGCTAGCCCAATCCTTTACACCACTTCCTCCTCCGGAAAAGAAGAAACTCTGACCCTCACACAGGACTTACAGCCTGTTCGGAGCTCCGGACATCTGCAGCACAGAGATTATTTGTAATCCGGCGTCTCCAGGCCGGTGAGCAACCTGAGGGGAGCAAGAGGGATGGGGAGCGGCGCTGCCGAGAGGGGCTGGGCTGAGAGGCGGCCAGTGCTCTTTCCCTTCCTGCTGTCTTTGTTCGGCCCGGCGCTCTCTGAGCCGATCCGCTACAGGATTCCCGAGGAAATGCCCGAGGGCTCGGTGGTGGGGAACCTCGCCAAGGATTTGGGACTCAGCGTGCATGAGTTCCCGACTCGACAACTGCGCATCAGTTCGGAGAAGGCTTACTTCACCGTGAGCGCCAAGAGCGGGGAGTTACTTGTGGGCAGCAGGCTAGACCGGGAGCAGATATGTGGGAAGAAGCCAGCCTGTACTCTGGAATTTGAGGCTGTTGCTGAAAACCCGTTGAATTTTTATCACGTGAGTGTGGACATCGAAGATATTAATGACCATACCCCAAAATTCACCCAAACTTCTTTTGACCTGCAGATAAGTGAGTCAACTGTGCCAGGCACTCGGTTTATCTTAGAAACAGCTGAAGATGCAGATATTGGCTTAAATGCCCTGCAGATTTATAAACTCTCTCTTAGCCCTATTTTCTCACTGATAAATAAAGAGAAACAAGATGGCAGTAAATACCCAGAACTGGCATTGGAGAAACGTTTAGACCGGGAACAACAGAGTTACCATCGTTTAGTTCTGACTGCCTTGGATGGTGGAGATCCTCCGCTCAGCGGCACCACTGAGCTCCGGATCCAGGTCACTGATGCCAATGATAACCCCCCTGTATTCAACCAGGACGTATACAGAGTAAGCCTTCGAGAAAACGTGCCTCCAGGCACCGCAGTGGTGCAGGTGTCAGCCACTGACCAAGACGAGGGCGTCAACTCTGAAATCACTTACTCCTTCTACAGGACAGGGCAAGTCTTCAGTCTGAATTCAAAGAGCGGGGAAATTACAACTCGAAAGACTCTGGATTTCGAAGAAATCAAGGAATATTCTATAGTGGTGGAAGGAAGGGATGGTGGAGGACTGGCTGCACAATGTACAATTGAAATTAACATTCAAGATGAAAATGACAACCGTCCAGAAGTTACATTCCATTCTCTAGCGGAAATGATTCTGGAAAACGCAGGGCCAGGAACGCTAATTGCTTTGATCAAAATACATGATCGAGATTCCGGGGAGAATGGGGAGGTTAATTGTCGATTAGAGGGTGAAGTTCCTTTTCAGATAATCTCTTCATCTAAAAATTCATATAAGTTAGTAATAGACGGGACTCTGGACCGAGAACAGACCCCAGAATACAATGTCACCATAACAGCCACTGACAGGGGCAAGCCGCCCCTCTCCTCCAGCACTAGTGTCACTTTGATCATTACTGACGTCAATGACAACGCTCCAGTTTTTCACCAGGCCTCCTACGTGGTTCACGTGATGGAGAACAACCCTCCTGGAGCATCCATCGCACAAGTCAGCGCCTCCGACCCCGACCTGGGGCCCAACGGTCGCGTCTCCTACTCCATCGT